AAACGATCTGGAATCACAAACCCCGACTGATGTTTTTGCGTCTGACTTTTCGCCGTCTGTGCGCAGGACTCGTCTCGAGACATCAGAGAAGCTCTCCATGAATTACTGTGTTACACCAACGTCTCCACTAAAGAGTGCATCCAGCTGGCTCTGCTGGAGCTGCTCAAGAACCTGAACAAGTATCCCACCGACCGCAACTCTGTCTGGAAGTAAGCGTCTACAGCCAGCGTATAAATAACTCTGCAGAGCTGCCACGAGTTAAGCTGATGGTTTGTTTATTTATTTATTTATGTTTTAATTTTCTACCTTCAGGTGTTTGAAGTTCCTGGGATCCCGCCATCCTACGCTGGTGTTGCCGCTCGTTCCTGAACTGCTCAGCACACATCCATATTTCGACACGCCAGAGCCGGACATGGACGACCCGGCCTGTATCCTTCACGCACCTAAAGATCTCAAACACGCACAGAGGAGCAGGAACCTGAGTAACGCCACCCACTGAGGGGCTTCGCAGGTCGTCCATCATGACTTGTTGGTGCAGTATGGCTGCTTTGTCTCTCCTCTGCTGCTGCGCGCTGCGTTTCCTCGTCCTTGACTCCGTTGATCTCAGATATCGCCGTCCTGGTGTTGGTGTTCAATGCTGCCAAGTCGTGCCCCACCATGCCGGCGCTGTTCTCCGACCACACCTTCAGACACTACGCCTACCTGAGGGACAGCCTCTCCCACCTCGTGCCGCCGCTAAGAGTGAGAACTGAAATACTGCATCACATTACAAACTAGCAGCATTAACAGCCGCTTCAGTCGGGATGCTTGATTCTTTTTTCTCGATCGTGTTTCTGAGAAAAATGTCTGTCAGACCTGGAAAACACGGTTGTCACGCTCACGGTCCTTCCTGTCACTTCCTGTCACTTTCTGTCTTTTAGTTGCCCGGCAGGAAGCAGGTGTACGGTCTCGACTCTGTGGACTCGGGTCCGGGTTCTGGTTCTGTGGAATCTGCTCAGCTCTTCCTTCAACAGAGTCTCAATAGAGTCAGCACCATCCAGAACCTGGAGGCACCTGGAGCCCAGGACCTGCTGGACTTGACCATAAGGTAAACGCACACAGTGACGTGTGCACACGACGCACGCAGGAAGGATTTGTGCTGTCACATTTTGAACATGTTTTATGAATGAATGCCAGAAATCCCTCCGATATTTTTTACTTGCAAACGTCAGATCATGAGACT